TATTAAAAATATAATTTCATTGATATAAAATAAAAATGATAGGACTTCATTGATGTTTGTAGAGAAAAGTAATATTTATTTGTAATTTCTCCAATATTAAAATTTCAATTCAACTGCTAGTTTGTTTTAATTTTATTTAATAAAATATTTCAAACATTTAAATAATTTCAAAACAAAATTTTAATCATCAAATGCAATTGCTCATGGAGATAATGTTGCACCACAAAAGAGAGATTTGAGTATAGGGTTGTCTATAGACCGGTGAACCCAGCCCAGAAACTTGAGTTTGGACTAGAATATGGGCTTATAGGACATGCATAATAAACTTTGCTTTCCATTTATCTGCAACCCGATAAACTCAAACTCAAATATTATCCGAATGCAAATTTGGTTAGTTCTTTTTTTTTTCTATTCTAATGCAAATACTGAAATATCTATCTAAATATTCAAAATTTCAAAGTGCTTAATTTCATATTACCCGGTCCACATTAAAAATTCACGCATAGACAATACTTAAGTTGAAGTTGAAGAAATTGGATAAAACTCGCATCGAATTTCATAATCTAATGTTTCGTTTAGTAGGGAAGATGAAAAGTAGGAGGAATACACTTTCTATTCTTTAAGTAAGAAAAATATGAATAATACATTTTCTTTCCTTTATATTTGATTGGATGTATAGAAAATAAAAATAATTATTATTAATTTTTTTTTGTGCTGGATAAAATAAAAGGTGACAATCGAGTGTTGTCAGATTCGTGTTGAGTCAGGTCATTTTCAAGTTCGAGTCGAGATATAATTAACTTTGTGTCATAAAATTCGTGTCATCTTGAGTTGAAAATTTTTACCCCTAATTAAGATAAAAAAAAATTTAATTAAAAAATTTAATTTTGATTTTTTTTATTAAATTTATTTTAAAATTTTTTTAAAAAATATATATGCATACATATTATATCATTATATTTTTATATGAAATTAATGTATACATAATATATGTATATATTAAAAGATATACAAATATAAAACATCTCAACACAAATAATTAAGTTTTCATCCATTTTTTTTTTCAATTTTAGAGGAATTGATTTTGGTGAGATGGAAGGAAAGTTAATTCATCAACTTTTTCATCCTTCATATTTTTTTTCCTTAACAAATATGATGTTTTATATATTCTTCCACCTTTTCCATCTTTTCAATTTTTTATCTTTCTATTTTTTCATCATACCAAACGAAGTATAAGTGTAGTTCCGACTAACCTATCCACCAATCTAATCCGTTTGATTTGCACCCCTAGGCGTGTCTCAGTAAAAATGTGGACAATTTGAAAAATCAAATGGAAAAATCGTCAGCCATTGTAATTGTAAGAGGCAGAAAATGAAATTACCTCATACTGGATTAAGATTTGGCACTTTTAGGTAAATAGTGTATTTGAACTTGATCTTCCAGTCTTTTCTCCCTGTAAAACGAGCAAATTGTCCAAGATCAAAGTGTTTTGATCGAAGGTACTTCAATAGTTAAGTTAGTAATAAAATTGATTGAATTGTAAATGGACAAGGAGAGTTCAACGTACCTTTCACGTTGGCTCCTTGTGTCTTTTCTAATCTTCTGTTTAGTTAAGGTTTTCATGATTCTTGATTCAAGGTGGCACACCTTCCTTCACTTCAGCGATTCTATTTGGGAAATTGTTGAATCTCTCTAGCAATCCCCTTGGCCTGCCCTACAATTAAGCCTATTAACTTATCCGGGAAGCCTGAGTTATAGGCAAATCTTTTGCTCTTCATTAGACTGTTTCAAACAGTTCTGTTACAATGAGAACCGACCTCTTCCTTTTCTCACCGAACTCGTCGAACAACTCGATTCTTTTTCACTGAACTCATCGAACAACTCAGCTCTTTCTCACCGAACTCATTGAACAGCTCGGGTTGGTCTATTTGTCCGAGTGATTGATGTCTTTTCTATGTGTCTGTCTAGTCACTCGGGTGACCTCATTTAATGCCGTAATAAATGGATATACATTGATTATTCATATGAATATTGGTGTTAATTAATTGCCTTGTGTGTGTGTGTCGTGATTAGGATAATCCTGACGTTGTTGTCATGGTTTGATTGTCAACCCGAACTAAAATTAAACAAAATGTTGGACTGTGGATTAGTATTATTTATGTCCCCATCTCCACCTTTCTCAATATATTTTATTAATTACATATTTAAATCATGGGAATCAAAACAAAGAATGACGTAAGATTTAGGATGAGTTTTTCTTAAAAACAATTAAGATTAGTTGGTATTGGTGGGCTAACGTCATTGTGATTGTCACATCATGCATGCAATAATGCTTCCATGAACATATGCAAACAAACCAAAATTACATGACATTACATGTCATGATGTGGCCTACCTGTAATGGAGTCTAGAGTTTATCTTCGTTCATTTTTTTAGGCACCAATATTAGATTTAGACTTATTCAAGTGTATTTCTGTAATTTGTAAGGTTATAGTGAGTTCGTGTCAAAAAATATTCTATTTAACTCTATTCGATTATTAATTTGTGTCTAATGAATCGTATCATATCGAATTTGTGACGTGTATAAATCATGTATAATCGATATATAAATGAATCGCGTCAATAAATCCGATTGATTGCTTCAATGTAGATGTGTAACAAATATTATATTCACAATCAATATCTGAATCTATAATAAATTTGAAATTGGATGTGACCCATATAACTCAATTGAGATGAATTTTAGCAAGTTTATCTAAATTTTAACCTAATTTTGTTAAACAATAACTCAGTTTTATCACATATAATTCCGAGTGGGACGCAATTAAATCAAATATTTTAAAATTTAAATCCAAACAGGTGAAATATTATACAACATATTCGAATTTAATAGAAAAAATATACCAATACCATCATATTAATCAAATCTAAATTTAAATTGGATTAAAATCAAAATATGATATATTGATAATGGTACTTATACAGAACTCACCCTGTAATAGCTGAGTAGTTTAGTGGCACAATTCCAACATAAACACCTCTAAGTTGAAAAACACACTTGCATGTCCGAAATTTTTTTCCCTTAACTCCAAGGTAGCTCAAATAATAATAAAAATGAGTTATAAATTTACACGTTTTAAATTCAAATTTTAACAATCTTTTAAGATCAGATCACGAGAGATTTATCCCTCATGAATACTATAATTCCAGTGTAGATGACCACGTCGAGACGAGATTAATCAAAATATTTGTAAACTGATTCAAACACTCTGACCGTTGAAAAAAATTAATTTCCCCTTAATCAGAAAACCAGAGGTGCGCCTTTGGTTCGAGTCCTAGAAAGTTCTCCTAGTTTCATTTGGCGTTATCACCACATAGAAGCAGAAGCACAAGCAGAAGCAGAGGCAGAATAGTCGTCCACATTGGTTGATTTTATCCTTCTAGGATCTTCTTGTCAGGCCACTAGTTTTCAATCACAGACCATAAGCTTCAACAAATTTTCTATTAAAAATCTATGGCTGTCCAATGGGTTTGGTTGGAGTGTTACAATTGATTTTAATCTTTCACGAATTGACCATTTTCATGTTTATAATATTTTTCTGTCCTTTCCAAAAATTTATTAAAAATTTCAAAATTAAAATCAGTGGGTCTGCAGATTTTCATATGAAAATGGCATGCCGGTTTCTCACTTGATGAAAAGCATCCGGAAATAAAAATTTAATATTTAGCAGAAAAAAAAAATCTGGATAGCAGGCTCGAGACAACTGTTATATTAAATTACTAGTTATTAAATATATTTTTATTCATATTCAAAATCATATTACAAACATAAAGAATAGGTAAAAAAATTTAAGCATCGGCTTGTAGTAGGGATGAGAGGTGGAGGGCGACAGTGGTAGTGGTAAAAGATAGTGATGGTTGTAGTGGGTGACAATGACCGTAGTGGTGGTGGCGTTGGTAATGGTTGGGGGCGTGGCGGTGGTGGTGGGCATGGCAGTGGCCGAGGCGGCGGTGGCGATGGCGGTGTCGGTTGGAGTGGTGGGGGTGGTGGCTGAGGCGGCGGTGGCAGTGGCAGTGGTGGAGGTGGCCGCGGTGGTGGTGAGACGGTTTCAAATACTATTTTTAAAAAAAATATTTATGAGAAATAATTTTTAAAAATACTTTTAAAAAATCATTCCAAACACACCCTTATGGACTTATTTTTCCTATTAAATTTAAGATGTTAATACTAACCGTTAGATTAACTTTAAAATAAAATTTAAAACGATCTCAACCGCGAATAGCAAAAGTCATTTTGTTTATTTTTTAGATTTAAATTGTAAGATACTTTATTATATAAATAATTAAATTATAATTAACAACATTATGAAACGCAGCCTTAATTGCTCAATTAGTAATTTATTTATATACCTAAGAAACACAAAATCTTGTTAAAATATGATATACTGGTTATTTGTGCACACCTCCCCCAAACCGTCCCTCCACTCCCACAGCGTGGGCGTGGGCGTGATGGTGAGGGTGAGGGTGAGGGTGAGGGTGAGGGTGAGGGTGGGCGTGGGGAAGACTAAAGAGAGAGAAATCATGATCCATTAACTTTTGGATCAGCTTCCTATATTCTCTTTTCCTATGGACCACAATGGGTAATCAAAGAGAGAATCACAAAGTTCACAATCCCTAGACTAGACTAATGAATGCATGGCTGGCCCTTTCTCCTGAGATTTTAAGGTTAACAAAATAAGAAGACAAAAACTAAAAGGATTTTATTTTTTACAATTTTTTGCCCTGAAAAGATGCACTCAGATTAACAAAATAGTATCAATACTTCATCTAAAATCAACCCAAAATTTATTCCTCTACGGTACAGTATAGTCTATACACCTCATCACACAAACCAACCACCAACTGTACATAGAGCCATTCTCCTAGGTCTCAAATGGGTTCTTCAATATGATAGAATCCACCACCAGTAAAGCTCATCAATTCTATTTTTGTTCTGACAATTAACAGATGACACAAGCATTTGGATTCTCTTCTGCACTGTAAACATGGTAGTGCTGTGTCATGTAAGGATTGTAAGCTTTGTAGGCCTTCACAAGGTCTGCAATCTGTTCATTTGGATCCTTCTTTTTATCATCGTCTTTCTTTCCCTCAGCCTTCTTACCTTCATCTTTTTTCTTTTCTGCTTCCTTTGGCCCAACTGTTAATATTTCTGGGTACCATTTTCTCAGTTTGCTGACCACCACAACTGGATCAACATCGCCAACCACCGTTAATTTCTTATCCTTCATGCTCATAGAAATCGATTCAATTCCTACACAAAATCACAAGATCAAAAGCAGATTAGTCCACTGATTACCAATTTGACTGTGCATCTGAAACAAATGAAGGGTCATTTTCTATTGAATCGCAAGCTATCAAATTGTGGTCAACCAAATTTCAGTACCTGGAATGCTAGACACTGCTTTCATGGCCTTTTGTTTTGCTTTATCATCATGTAAATCTAAACTCAACACTACTTTCTGCAACAAAAAAAAAAAGACCAACAGCAGTCATTACCATGCCAAAAAGACTAGTAATTGGCTATGGTCTAAAAAGTAAACTAGGCAATAATTCACAACACAATCAGACCAAAAAACAAAAACATTCTTTTACTGTTTCAAAAAATTGAACATCTGAAAAGATCCTGATTTATTCAAAGGACGCGAATAGTGAAAGCCCACTCAGGATCCCAGATGGTCCACTCATAAACCAGAGGTGGTCATGAAAAAAAACAGAGTAGTGGGGAGAAAGATTCATGCTCTTTCTAAGAAATGAAGGAAAATTCGACTTGATTCTCTTTAAGAATTAAACTAGGGTCTCAAAACTTTAAAACCCATTAAACATAAACCTCATTTTTTAATTTTTAAAAATCCCAAATCTAATATTGGTCATGAAGAAGAACAGAACAAGAAGGAAATCAATTAGAGTTGACATGTAAACAGGAAACAGAGTAAAACCCAACAGAAGACCATCCTTTTATTAACTCGTCCCAAGAAAAACAACGAAATAGCATAATTTTAATGCGTCTNATTCCTTGCGGAACAAGTCAGAGAAGACAAATGGTGGACTCCTTAAACTATTGACAAAACGAGGCAACTTTACATGAGAGAGAGAGAGAGAGAGAGAGAGAGAGACCAAGGAAGGAAATGATTACCCTTTTGCGCGTCAAGGTGGAAGATCGGACGTTGTCTTCTTTGACAGTTGAATCGTCGGATGTTTCTTTTTTAATTATAAGATGTTGAGGAGTATATCGACTATTCTTTTAAATTTTAAATTAGTTATTATAAATTCAGTTAATTTAAAGGACATGTCCTTTAATAAATAAAAATATCAAATTTAATATCTCTTATTTATATCAGGACATATTTAATCACTGGACGACCGTAGACATGATTTTGCACACTTCTATGCATCGGTGTCATGGGTCCCATGAAAGTCTATTTGGCTTGAATACAAAGGTACATTGCTTCTACATGTGCATCACTAAAGTTTTTTTTTTTTTGGCTGCAATTTGAACCGGTTAATTCAAACCGGAGTTCAACTGTTTTTTTAATCCAAAAAATTCACCATTTGAGCAAAAATTGTTCATAATAGGATTGCACTTGAGCAAAAACACATTCCAATCCTACCTAATTTTTGATAACATTCAAATTGTTTGTGAATTATTGAGATCCAACTCAAATTAATGGACTTAGAATTGAACCCGAATCTCACGACTCAATTCGAATTCATAACAAGATTCAACTTGAAACTAAGACTCGATTCAAATTCGTAAATTTAGAATTATACCTGATGATGTTCGTAGCACAATAAAATAGCGTGATAAATACACAGTGCACTGAATAGTTCAGTCTGAACTCCAAAATTCTTGATAATAGAATCAAGGGAATGAAATTCTCACACAGAAAATTTATAGTGGTTCATCGGTTCGAGAGTTTAAGTAATTCACTCTCAAAGGAGTTTCTTGCTCTTAGAGAATATATTGATAATTGAGAATTTTAGGGAGAGTATTTGAGTGAGGCTGCAATTGACTGTCTTTACCGCTAGGGGTCATGTCTCCTATTTATAGTTAATCCTGAGTTTTGTTTGATTTTTAGCAAGATTCTTACTTTTTCTTGTAACGGTTGTTTTTATTAGGCAACGACTATGGTGATGGTTGGAACAGTTATCAACTTTCTGTCCGGATAAATAATAACCGTTATCGTGGTGATGTCTATTGAGAGTCAACTGTCTTCTATGTTGCCTTTTATGAGATGCAAATATAGGAAACTCGAGGATTAAAACTAAAATTTATAGGCAATGTAAATAAATTGAACTCCCAACCTAAATAAACATAACTTGTGTTGTCGATTTCAATTTTAAGCATATTCAAGATGCGATCAATACCCATATTCCAATTGAATTGTGTAAATAGCGACTCAACCAAAATTTCAAACTCGAATTATAAATTTAAAGCATTAGGTTCAACAGTCCACTAACGGTTGTGGTTGTGCAATTTGGAAGTCGAAATAGAAGTCGTCAAGTCAACGGCCGATCCATCCGCACCTAGCCTAGAGCATAATTACCTAAGCGTAGGTTTATTATCACGGTGTGACCTGTGGGACCCGAATGCTGGATCCTCGTTAACTTGCCCACTACGTCGGGCCCGACTTGTAGTGGACCTGAGTGGGACACATTGAATAGTCATTAGTCAATGAGTCGGTGCTCAACAAAGACCACTTAAAATTAACAAACTGACGTACCATCACACATCGTAGCAGTGTATATTGTCCATTACAAAAAAAATATATACACCTAAAAGGCTAAAATCCAAAGATCATGATGACTTAATATATACCTATTAAGTATTAAAAATTTTAGGGTAAATTACGCCAAAAGTTTTTGAGATTTATCATTTAATTATGTAAACTTCTTTATATTTAAAATATAACACTTACACCCTTTAAAGTATGTGTGCGTGTCACATATAGATCCCCTATCTGACTCTCCGTTAATATTGCCGAGAACAATTCCAAGGATACTAGATAAAATAATTGGTCAAAATATATTTTTTTATAATATTATTTATTTTAAAGAGCAACTACTGTTAATTATCTCTAACAATGTTTTCTATTTTAATTAACTATTTCAATTAACTTTAACTAATTTAACCACAATTCACAAATTTTCATACGTCGTGTTTTTAGTTCAAACCAATTCCTTATATTTTGTCATTCATTGCTAAACTAGAAAATTAGAAAAATTTCAGGTAAAATTCATAGCTAACCAGAAAAATTTTAGAAAAAAAATGTCACAGATAAATTCTATAAGAATCCGTTTGTTTAGCAAGAAAATGCTAGAAAATAGAAGAAAGACTAAAATTTTAAAATTTTACATGCGTTTGTTTAGCATGAAATAAAAATTGATAAAAAAATAATTTTATCTCATGTTTAAATTTTCTCACATTTAACTAACTTTTTTTCCTGAAAAAAACACAAGAAAAAAAAAAAGAAAATTGTATTCAATAACTTAACTTCCCATTTTATCTTAATTTTTTAAAAAATATTTAATTAGTTATTAATTTTAAAAAAATGCGTATAAATTAAACAAATCATATATTTGTCTTTACAGATTATTAAATTAACGATATTATTTGGAATTAATTTATTCTAATTTACTAACTTAATTAGTCATAATCATTGGATTGACCGTGAACTAAAATATTTATTGAAACTCACAACCAATGAAATAGTTAGAATAAATTAAGTTAACAAATTATATCAGTAATTTTAGTCCAAATAGTATTATTATTATTATTATTATTACAATTCAATTTCTACTTTTGTTCTCCCACCGTCAAATAAGAGCTATTCTCGTCATATTTTCCCACTACCTGCCCCACAAAAAAAAGTTAGAAAGTAATTCAACTTCCTTTTACCTCTTAAGAGCATCTCCAACAACAAAAACTATTTTAGTTATTTAAAAAGTAATATTTTTTATTTTAACTACTCACCTTTTCAATATATCGTGCATTTCTTTTACATATCGCTACAGTAATACACTATATTTAAAGTATCACTGTAACAAAATATTATTTTAGATGTTTTAAAAATAATCTGTTAGAATAGAATTTTTGGGCTAAATAACTAAAATTTGAAAATTTTGTGTGTTTTAGATCATCTGTTGAAGATGCTCTATGGTACCATAAGTTTGGATGTTGATTTGTGTGTTTTTTTTTATTAAAAAATAATAAAAGATAATTGCTTATTCAAATATAATAATTAGGGGTCGTTATGGAATGATAATAGAATTATGGAACATGATTTATTTCCTTTATGATCGACAAGAAATTGAGTGTGCTTTTTGCTCTTTTTGGTTTGATTATAACAATAAAATTCATTCTAAACAAATCAATAGTTTAAATTGCCATCTAATTTCATATTTAAGCAACTTGTAACTCAGTTTATTCTAAATAAAACCCTTAATCAACTTCATAATTCTTAATAAAAATCGTTTTATTATTGACAGAAAGTTAATGATATGTACGGATGGAGTAAAACCAAAACATTCACTCTGCACCAGAACGGCCTTTGCAGTGCAATGTCTGTCACTCCATTTTTTACAATTATTCCCCTAATATCATGAGTAGCTAAATTATAAATTTAGATATCATGAATTCAAATTTTAATAATTTATTGGGGTCAAACTATGAAAAATTTATTCCTCATAAATACCTTAATCCTGACGTGAATAACTTATTTTTGACCAAACTGAAAAAAAAGATTATTCAATAATAGAAGTTGACAACTATTTGTATGGTTGCTTTAATCTTGTCAAGTGCATAACATGGGCAAGTACGTCCGCAATTTATTTAAAAAACTTTTTGTTTGATCATTTGAAGACACAAACTACACCTTTAAATTAGAAAATGACTTTATTTTTGAAAAACTAATCATAAAATCTTTTCTAAATGCAACTTGCAAGAATCTTAATCCTAGTTAACAGAATATACCAAATTCCAATAATTAAGAGGCTCTAGAAGTCATTGGCTTCAGAGATGGTACGAGGTGAATTTAGTGATGAGAAGATAGATTATGAAATTATCCGCAAGAGGGAAGTTACATCATATTTATGGGCCTCCCGTGTAGGTAATTTTAATGTGCCCTATTTCACTGTTTTTGCAATCAGTTTCAAGGTGTTTAAACAAGCATGGAAACTTGAGGGATGAGGTCTCTTTTAAAAAAAAAAGGTCTCTTAAAAAGAAACTTAGTTGACCACAGTGCTAACCTGTATTCCACCAACAGTGGCATTCAAGCCGGCACTTTCAAAGGGTCCAACATCATGTTTTGCTCCAATAACTATAGCAGTCTGCACATGTAATAGGAACAGAGAATAGTGCTGAGACAAGGTCACCCAAATTGGATTTGACTTTGAAAATTATGGTGCAGAATGAAAGAGAACAAAATCAATTTGTCAAGGATGTGAGTTTGAACAAGAAAAAGGAAAAAAAATCCACTATATTAGCAATACATTAACGCATCCACTTCTATAAGTGATCCATTTTGGAGTTTAACAGCTGCTACATGTCCATCAGAACCATCTTCTGAACTTTCAATGGGGAAACCCGACTGTAAATAATTGTATGTTCACTTGGTTAGCAGACACTTTATGCAGCGTTCACGAATTTGACACTATTTTCATGGTAGAGTTCTTCATATTTCCGACAACTGAAGGAGAAAAAAACCTTTGCAAAGGATGATTTTCTGGAAATAAGCTATATCTTTTTCAAAAATAAACAAAAAAACTAGGTTAACTTAAACTTGTGGATGAGGAAGTGATATAAGACATGATGCTATAGAACTTGAGAAAAGACATTGTCCTAGATGCAGCACTAAAATACCAGCCCACATGGGCCATAAAGCCAATTCTGCTTATTTGGTACCCATGGTAAAGGCTTTGTTGAGCAACAANTAGATGCAGCACTAAAATACCAGCCCACATGGCCCATAAAGCCAATTCTGCTTATTTGGTACCCATGGTAAAGGCTTTGTTGAGCAACAATGAACTAGAATTCAAGCAAATGGCGTTACAATTTCTTAGTCATCATATAATCACAGTATTAACAAAGACCAAGACTAAAATTTGTTCATCCAAGTATCCAAAAAGGTATGGAATTGGAGAGTATTAGCATAGAAGAATAAAAATGCCGTATAAGTACTCACAGTTGTATCAAGCTTCCAACCCACAGCAGCTGCTACAACCTCCTGGCCAATATAACCACCGCCATCCACAACTTCAACTTCTGTGATTTCTCCTAGGAAATAATTTGACTCTTATATTACAACCAGGTGCATCTCNGTATAAGTACTCACAGTTGTATCAAGCTTCCAACCCACAGCAGCTGCTACAACCTCCAGGCCAATATAACCACCGCCATCCACAACTTCAACTTCTGTGATTTCTCCTAGGAAATAATTTGACTCTTATATTACAACCAGGTGCATTTCGAGTTACTCCACTCTTTAAGCCTAATCAAACCAAACAAACATGCTTCATAAATCTCAATTTTATATGGAAGTATAAGAAGTCAGGACTCATAGAAGAAAATAAGAACAATGAACTAACTTTACAATCGCTGGTATCAATGAATCAGCATCCTCAACATCCTGGATACAGTGAACACCATGTAAGTTTCCTCTAATTTTCTCCTGAAATCTGAAGCCAAGGTAGATTAAGTATTTCTCATCATTTTAGCCAGCATATTGACTCATTGGAACTGACAAAGAATATAATAAATCCCAAAAGTTTGCAAAAGTCACGAAGTCATCATTGTCCAGCCACTTGTTTTAAATGAATCAAATTAAGAACTGAGCCAGAGGCTCAGAAATAATGTTTTCTCAAGTTTAAGTATCAGGCGAAAAAATAGATGATGATGACAATTGAGTGTTGTGGTCCTAGAATTCTAAACAATCTACAAACTATTGGTTCTCCATGTAAAACGTGTATCCCTGTAGCCCTCTCGGGCTAGCTGCACAGCTGTGTGCACCAAGTGAAATAAATAACATTATTTGGAGGCTGTATGTACATCCTATAGCCATTACAAGTGTACCATACTTGAGCAGCTTTCCTGAATTTGTTCTTCAAGTTTGCTTTTCAATAACAATACCTGTCACAGGATTCTCATACAACATCTAGACAAAAATGAAAAGGCTTCATAAATAGTGATTTACAAGATACAAGTACCATTAGGGTGCCACACTTAACAAATGTGATCATCTCAACTAGAATTTTAATATTAAGATGTGCATCTAGAAGTCCCATGGTCAACAAGCTCCAAAATCTATATCACATTGTTTCAAGAGGCAAAACCATTCTCAGCAATGCAAGCAGTTCAAAGAGCAAGCAGAATTATCACCAACCATGAAAATGGCATTTACAAGATGTTGTCTGCTATCCCAGCTTCATTCCAAATGACACAAGTAATTTAAAGAAAATGTGCATTTAATAGCAAGAAAAGGAAAGCACCTCTTAAGACATAATGCAAAGCTTTCCATTGGCCAATCCATGCTCGACAAAGTTGGAGTGTCATATCTAGCAGCACTCCCGTAAAATTATATATACAGGTGAGAGTGACTTACCCTTGATTCTCGTCAGCGAAAGATGGGATGAAACGCCATGGCTCCTTCAGAAGAAGGCCGAGGAACACAATTCAGACAAGTACACCAAAGTGGAAGTTCGTGCATCAGTGACAGTGTGTTCACCATATTCGCCATTAATCTACGCACTGTGTTCTTTGTAATATGACTTCGGAGGGAGAAATACGTATGAAACAAGAAAGTTCTGCCAATAGTCCGAGATGAAGCAGTTCATCATTGAAGACCGCCTTCTCCTCGTTCTGTGGGTGTTAGTGAAGTGGTCACAGCACTTGGAATCACTAACGGTTTGCTAGACAATCTAATGGAGCAGCACTACAAAGAGGCTGTTGATCATCATCAGAGGTTTAAAGAGTACAAAGTTGGGGATTAATGGGAGCCATTTCAATATTGAACAATGGATAAGTTGGTCATGAGTCCATTCCATAAATTGGAGACCTTGGGTTCCAGTATTCTTTTGGAATTACTTCTTAGGGTTTTGTCCTGATAATTTGCCTGGTGCACATTGAAACTACATATGCTCGGAAAGATTACTCAAAGCACCCCTAAAGATTTCAGTATCATTTAACTGCCAAATACCATGAGCCAAGGAGAGATTTAAGTACACAAGTTAAAGGTCAAATTTGNCCTGGTGCACATTGAAACTACATATGCTCGGAAAGATTACTCAAAGCACCCCTAAAGATTTCAGTATCATTTAATTGCCAAATACCATGAGCCAAGGAGAGATTTAAGTACACAAGTTAAAGGTCAAATTTGTGATGTGTCACAGGTTAATGTGCTAAATAAATGAGCTAAACCGAAACAGAGAAGGTGAAGCACAGTATTTCATTCATCATTTCCATCTCCTCTAGGCATTTATGTAACAGAAGTATGTCAAACAATCTCACATCCGCATTTTGAACAACTCTGAAAAACAATTTCTCACCTCTCAGAATACACAAAAATGAAAAATGGTATATACATTTATTTTAACAGAGTCGTCTGCTCTTTCAACAGAACACTACAACATATGAAACAAAGAGAGCACATTTCACAGANTTCTGAAAAACAATTTCTCACCTCTCAGAATACACAAAAATGAAAAATGGTATATACATTTATTTTAACAGAGTCTTCTGCTCTTTCAACAGAACACTACAACATATGAAACAAAGAGAGCACATTTCACAGAAACCAGTGAATGCTTCATCAACAGGTTACAGCCTGAACCATACCCCCTAAAAAGAGACCCATAATGTGTTGGTTTATGCAGCGTATGCATTAAACCTGGTATCATAACAATATCCCCCACAAATTGAAAATAAAAAAATTCTCTACCCCTTCAAGATTTGGAACTGTTCTAAAAAAGGGCAGGAAAAACCAATAACAAAAAGGGAGAAAAAATTCAGACCCATTGATCTAAATGGGACAAACAACATTGTTTGGACAATTACAACTGCAATCTAAATTCATGTATCTTTTGGAGTCTCAATATGGAACTGGTGTTGATAACTTACCAACTTGATCAACTACATCAAGAACCTCAGCCCTGCTCCTCACAATCCTATGAAACACCTCCCTAACCTGTTGCTGGAGTGGCACTAACCCTTCCTCCATCTTAGAACAAATCTCCGCCAATTCCGCCACCAGCACCGCCACCTCGTCAGCCTTCTCCGCCTCCACCGGAAACTGAAACACCTCCGTAAAATCCGACAACGACACTGCCACCTTCTCCATCCTATGCACCTCCTCCAACAACCCTGCTGTCCCTCTCTTCTCCTTCTTCTTCCACTCCTCCCCTATCTTCTCCTGCAGTCCAATCACCGCCTGGGCCCAGCTCAATTGTCTCGGCACCGGAAAATGGGTCGCCAGCCCAATTCGTTCCTGACAAGGAATCGCCGCCACCAAAGCCCACATCACAAACACCAACACAGTGCTCATAGTATAAACCGGCAAAGCTAACCCGGTAGCCTCACCTCCACGTGGAGCCACCAAATTGGCTGAAATCGCCTGAATCTGTTTAGCGGCGGACCAAGATTTAGCCACTGACAACGACAATGGCCGGAAATTTCCGACCGCACGATCTTTCAAATTCACGGCGGCGCCACCACCTCGCCGCCCAAACGACCAAGTTCGCTCCGTCGACTTACCATGGGAGCTCTCTCTATCATCGAACATCATGGAGGTGAGTAATGTGTTCAAGGCTTTTTTGGCGCGTCGGACTTGGCCTTCTCCGATTGGTTGTTGATCAAAGGACGATACGACGATTTGGGCCAGCTTTTGCCACTGACGGACAAGTTCAACGCCGTGAGTAATGGCATTGCAGACATCGAGGGCTTTGATGGTACGGTCGAGGAGTTCAGGGATTAGACGATCGAGAGGGGGCTTCGAAAACTGCGATGGGTCGCGACCCATGATGAGGACGGCCTTGAACTCCGCTTCACAGCAGAGAAACGCATCTAGGAGTTTGCGGAACCATGAAATGGAAAGGAGGGTATCGGATATGGTGGAGTCTACAGAAGGATCGGCGTCAGTGTGGGGGGTGGAGGAGGGTAGGAGATCGGAAAAGCGTTCGACGATGTGTTTTTGGAAGAGTTCGATATCTTCGAGCTCTTGCTCGTGATTGCCGTCCATGGAGACTACCTGATTCCGGCGAATGCTTATTCGGTTCAGGAACGAACCTTGGTTGTCCGTCGCCGGCATGGTAGGTTATTCAGGATATAGTTTCAGGAGAAGGTTGAGAGAGAGAAAGAGAGATGTCTAGGAGGAGGAGTCGGCTTGGCAGTTATATACGTTGTTAAGTGGATGGATGCCATGGTCACAGCTTGTTAGGGACGACGACCGTTTCTTCTTCCTTGTATTCGAAATGGGCGCTGACTTGGAATTTTTATTCCATATTCTAAAAATGACCTCAATGTTATGTGTATCAAAATTTTACGTCAAATAAAATGAGAGCCGTTAGATGATATTGGAGTCCACGAACCTGACGGCTCACATCTATTTGGGACCCAGTCAGCATGAAAAAAAGGTCCCTAAACAAGCTCGATCGTGTTCTCCGCCCAACAGCTCTGTCCTCCACCAAGTAGCAGTCTGGTCTCATGTCCCTATTGCATACGAAAGGAAAATCGATGGAAGTAAGAATAAATATGTGGGAGAATTCGTCGGACAATTTTTTCTTTTTGTCTACCCATTCCTTCTTGGTTTAATCAAAAACAGATTAGGGTGTACATGCAAAATAAATTCTTAATAATCTAGTTTTAAGAGATTATTAAAATTTAAATTCACGACACTTACATTTACAATTCGTCTCAATTATCATATTGAAGTATCTATTTAAAATAATTCCTTAAATAATTCGGACTTTAAGATTTTCGGACAATATTATTGAGAGATACCAAGTTTGAGGACGACGATGGTAGGGAAGAATATGTCATATTAAACATTTTAAAATTAAGTTAAAATTTTAAGGGTTTAAGTTATAATTTAAATAATGATCATTGATCATAAAATATTGTTATCGATTATAAAAAAATATAATTTTAAAAGTAAAATCATACTTATTTAAGTTAATTCATGATCGATCAAAATACTTTATGATTACGTTGATCATAAAATATTGTGATCAATAGTGAATAATTATAACTTTTTCTTTTAAAAAAAGGGTAAAACTTGACATTTAAAGGTGTATTTTTCGTTATTGTTATCTCTTTTCCAAAGTTCTTTTTTTTTTTGTCTCAAAAAATTCAAAATCCGTGATTGCAACAACGAATTCTCTAGCATCGAATTTTATAAAAAAATAATACTGGAGTTCAACGGTCAAATGATCTTTCCAACTTATTTATCAAAGATAGAAAATCAATCCGAATCACAATAACATATTAAAATAATTTCACAAAAAGATGAAGACCATTAAAACAAACTAAAAGATAAAATTAAATTAAATTAAAAGTGAAATTAATAGAGCACAAATTCGGATTATTGATCTTGTAATTCAAGTTATTCCGATTTTTAATAATTACGAATTATTCTACTCATGCTCAAACGTCCTTTAGACTTTAACTAAAAACGTAAATTCAAGTGTCTGCAATTAGGGTTGATAATTAAGTCGAATTATTTGAGTTTGGCTTGAAATCAGTTAAAATAGGATTTGACTCGAGCTTAACTTGTAGTCTAAAAATTGAACTTGAACAATTTTTAAAAAATTCGGCTCGTTTATATGTAAAATATTCAAGTTATTCGGGCTCAACTCTGATTCGGCTCATTTGGGATTTGACTCGAGTTTGCCTCATTTTCTAAATATGTCGAATTCAAACAATTTTTTAAACTTATAAAACTCGACTTGATTATTAGTCTTATGTGCAATTTAATGACTAGCAATGCATAAAAAATTGATAAAATATATAAAAATTTAAGGGTTAATTACACTTTTGATCCGTAAAATATATATTTTTTATCAGTTTAATACTCATTGTATCAGTTTTGTTAATTTGGTCCCTAAAATATTTAATTCATGTCATTTTGGTCCCTACATAGACAGACTGTTAAGTTTTTTACGGAGTGATCACGTGTCAGGCCATGATATCGTCCAAAAAAATGACATGTGGTAAAAAAAACTTGATGGATTATCTAATTCGGTATCAAAGTGACTTGGATTGAATATTTTATGGACCAAATTAATAAAATTAATACAATGATAACTAATTTGACAAAAAAAATACATATTTTAGAGATTAAAAGTGTTTTTAACCCAAAATTTAATTATATAACTAAATTAGATATTATCTCATTTTTATCGTACTTAAATTATTTGTATTGTGGATGAAGAGAAAAATATACATATATTAATTTTTTGGCAGCAAAAATAATATTATATAAATGAAGTTGTCGATGTGTATTAATATTTGGGTTTTTGAAAAAAAATATATGTTTTTTAAAAACTCTGTTAAGAATAATATGACCATCTAAAAGCTTTATAAATACTAGATATTGCACACGTGCATTACACGTGAATTATTTTTATAATAGTTTTGATTTTATATTTATCATATCGGTAAATAGGTTAATTTATTTAGAACTGGAATATTATCAAAAATTGCCTTAAAATGTGATTTTTGTAATTTATGAGTCCTATTTTATAGTTTAATTATAAATATGGTAAAATACGTTGGTCACATACCCACACATACTTACCATAATAATCTCCTATTTCAAAGTTTAAAAATAATTAATAATCAAACCAATTTGGTCAAGTAGATAAGACTTAGTTTTTTATGTCGTTATTTTTTAGGATTCTATTATGTCCTCTTTTGAATTTTTCTTTAACTCTCTGTAAATATTTTGTTCTTTAATATAAATGCATTGTGCTAAACTTATAATATTGATTTATCAATGCATACTCCTATTAGGCGAATATACAATTTTATTTATCAACAATATTTTTAATGTGAAGTTATCATTTGACACATTGGTATATATGTGCGTTGCACGTGGACAAGTTAAATCTATAGCAATGACATTATTTCTTATAAGTATGTTGAAATAATTAAATATATATAACTACGAATCAAAATATATGTCATTTGATATTTGTTGTTTGGATATATTATATGTTGCTATGTGTTCCAACCACAATAATGTTTTAAGAAGTTACACTGCATGCTAAATTGATTATTTCAAGATTGATTGATTACCCCATGAATACTAGAAAGGCTGATTGATCGAGATTATATGTTTTTGTGTGCTAAATCTACTATACTTACTAAGAGTCCATAATCACTGGTTGCATGATTCACGATAATACAAACTTTGCGAGAGAAAAATTTGATAAAATCGCCACAAAATATATTGTATTTTTATAATAGAGCACAAGATAGTCAAGTAAATCATCATAACACAAACCAATAGATAGAAGACGTACATGTTTCAACTACAAAAATTTGTTTCTTTTGCAACATTTATCTTGACGGATTAGAATTTAAAAAAAATCCTCAAGACTAACTTATCTCTAATTAAAGAAATTTAATTCTAAATTCATTGTTAGATTTATCTAAATATATAAGATATTAGTACATGATGGAAAGTTCAAAAGTCAAATTTTTAAATGACTTGATTTCGTATAAATTTCAAAAGTCATTGTTATAATTTGATATTTACTCTTAAGACTTGTTTGCACTATTTTTAGAATCTACAAGGTTTACAACTTAAATAAGTTACAATACATACTAGACTAATGAAAAAAAATTAGTTTTATATTATGAATCTATATAAAAAAAAAAGAGAGAAATCAATTAGAGTAATATTTAGATTAAGGATAATATTGATTTTATATTGTTGTTAAATCACATTTACGAAAATTATAATATAGACTTTAATAAATTGTACTAGGATAAAATTAGAAAATAAATTTTTATTTTTAAGTAGTGACTTTGATGAATTATATTTTAGCAATCATTAAATTTACAGGGTTCTTCAAGGGTATCAAATTTTTATGATTTAAGTCATAAGTGTTCATATATTTATTTAAGGACAAAATAGAAATTTAAAAGTTTTAAATGAAATTATTAATGTAAGGTATAATTGTTCTTATAATTTTGTTTAAGGGTAAAAAAGAAATTCAAAAAATTTTCATCAAGTACTTTTATTAGTGATATAGATATAGATATAAATTGAGATTTACATCATATGTTAGATGCTAGTTTGTTATTTAAGTATAGAGTGATATAATGATAATCTACATATTTAAATATATAACATTTTAGCTTTTATAGTTTTTTATGAGAGTAAAATAATGAATCAAAAATTTTTCGTGTAAGATATTTTTATTAATAGTATAGATATACATTTACATTTATGATTTTATTGGCAATTGGGCCTTGCCCCAATAGTAAAACGTGGACTACAACGTGGGGAAATGAGCCGGGAGTAGTAGATGGGCCAAACTTAGGATCCAGCCCGTACAACAGCTAAGCTACGCTCTATATTTGATCAAAAAAAAAAAAAAAAGCTACGCTCTATAAAAACCTCATGAACGAGGGCTTTAGGGTCTCTGCAACAACAGATAAACAGTTTAGAAGCCTACCGGAGGTTTTCGCCGTCGTTTTCAGCTCTCGCAACCATGATAATTACAGAGAAGAACCGCCGAGAGATCTCCAAGTACCTTTTCCAAGAAGGAGTTTGCTTTGCGAAAAAGGACTACAACTTGGCGAAACACCCTGAAATCGATGTCCCGAACTTACAGGTGATAAAGCTGATGCAGAGCTTCAAATCCAAAGAATACGTTCGCGAGACCTTCGCTTGGATGCACTACTATTGGTATTTAACCAATGACGGCATTGAGTTCCTCAGAACTTACCTCAATTTGCCTTCCGAAATTGTCCCTGCCACTTTGAAGAAATCCCCCCGGCCACTCGGTCGCCCCATGGGTGGCCCACCTGGTGATCGCCCCCGGTAATTTGAAATACACCCTCATTTCCACGTGTATTCATATTTGTATGTTAATAATTGGTGATTTGTTATTTTTGGGTTCTTTTGTTGAGTTGGGTTTATTTGATTCATTGATGTGTATGTTAATTTTGGCGATTTGTTATTTTTTGATTCTTTTGTTGGGGTGGGTTTGTTTGATTGATTGTAATTTCAATTGGGTTTTGTTGAAAATTGTGTATAGTGGACCGCCGCGGTTTGAAGGAGATAGGCCGAGGTTTGGTGATCGGGATGGATACCGTGGAGGTCCCCGAGGAGGGCCGCCGGGTGAGTTTGGTGACAAGGGTGGAGCTCCTGCTGACTACCAGCCTGCATTTAGGGTAAATTCATTACTTATTTTTTTCGGAATTGCGTTTTCTTAGGATTGATTCCTTTACTTCTCTTGGTGGGATGCTGTATTTGAGCATCTCTTATTTGTCTCAAGGTTTTATAGTGTCAGCAACCATGTACCTTGAGATTTTTTATTTTATTTTTTTTACATTCAAGCAGTAGGTATTGAACCCTGGTAACTGACTTTCCCACCCCTGGTTCTCATATTCCTCAAGAACTAAAAGTCCAGTTTAGAATGAATTAATAGAACTTGAAAAACACAAGAATTTCGACTCAAAATTTTAAAAGTAAGCATGTTATTGGAATAGTTGTTGCATCAAGTGAGATTTTGTGTCTCGAGGCAGTATTGTTCATAAGAACTAAAATTTTGGGTGGGGAACATGCAAATCTGAGGCGTTATGCAAATTCCGAACACTGATCCCTCCTAGCTCCTTTCATGAAAACTAAACCGAGTGTCATTTTCATCACTGTGCAAATATGAGACATGATATTGATCCCTAATAGCTACTATCTCAGAAATTTAACTTGAAGAAGGATTGATAGTTAATGTTTTCTCACCTTTCTCCTTTTTTTGCAGCCTCAAGCTAACCCAAATGCAATGATTTATCCTTTTATGCAATGACATTCATGCACTCTCCTTTAATATTGTAGTTATTATAAATTTGCATGCATGTTTGGCTGGCCATTATTCTACCTTATACATACTCTTTTCTTCTAGAAATTTTTACCTTACCCTGCTAGACATCCAAATGTCGCACTGTTACTGAAAGAATCTCCACAAGCACATTATACGTTGAAACTTTTTTTGGCTTCCTTAAACNATAGACATCCAAATGTCGCACTGTTACCGAAAGAATCTCCACAAGCACATTATACTCTGAAACTTTTTTTGGCTTCCTTAAACTCTTGTCCTTTTCTTCATGTTACTTGTTTGGTTTGGCTTTTGATACTTAATAGCGGATGTATTTGAGGAAATAATTACTTCTGTCAATTTTTAGACTGGTTNAGATTAGGGTGTACATGCAAAATAAATTCTTAATAATCTAGTTTTAAGAGATTATCAAAATTTAAATTCACGACACTTACATTTACAATTCGTCTCAATTATCATATTAAAGTATCTTTTTAAAATAATTCCTTAAATAATTCGGACTTTAAGATTTTCGGACAATATTATTGAGAGATACCAAGTTTGAGGACGACGATGGTAGGGAAGAATATGTCATATTAAACATTTTAAAATTAAGTTAAAATTTTAAGGGTTTAAGTTATAATTTAAATAATGATCATTGATCATAAAATATTGTTATCGATTATAAAAAAATATAATTTTAAAAGTAAAATCATACTTATTTAAGCTTATTCATGATCGATCAAAATATTTTATGATTACGTTGATCATAAAATATTGTGATCAATAGTGAATAATTATAACTTTTTCTTTTAAAAAAAGGGTAAAACTTGACATTTAAAGGTGTATTTTTCGTTATTGTTATCTCTTTTCCAAAGTTCTTTTTTTTTTTTTCTCAAAAAATTCAAAATCCGTGATTGCAACAACGAATTCTCTAGCATCGAATTTTATAAAAAAAAAATACTGGAGTTCAACGGACAAATGATCTTTCCAACTTATTTATCAAAGATAGAAAATCAATCCGAATCACAATAACATATTAAAATAATTTCACAAAAAGATGAAGACCATTAAAACAAACTAAAAGATAAAATTAAATTAAATTAAAAGTGAAATTAATAGAGCACAAATTCGGATTATTGATCTTGTAATTCAAGTTATTCCGATTTTTAATAATTACGAATTATTCTACTCATTCTCAAACGTCCTTTAGACTTTAACTAACAACGTAAATTCAAGTGTCTGCAATTAGGGTTGATAATTAAGTCGAATTATTTGAGTTTGGCTTGAAATCAGTTAAAATAGGATTTGACTCGAGCTTAACTTGTAGTCTAAAAATTGAACTTGAACAATTTTTAAAAAATTCGGCTCGTTTATATGTAAAATATTCAAGTTATTCGGGCACAACTCTGGTTCGGCTCATTTGGGATTTGACTCGAGTTTGCCTCATTTTCTAAATATGTCGAATTCAAACAATTTTTTAAACTTATAAAACTCGACTTGATTATTAGTCTTATGTGCAATTTAATGACTAGCAATGCATAAAAAATTGATAAAATATATAAAAATTTAAGGGTTAATTACACTTTTGATCCGTAAAATATATATTTTTTATCAGTTTAATACTCATTGGATCAGTTTTGTTAATTTGGTCCCTAAAGTATTTAATTCATGTCATTTTGGTCCCTACATAGACAGACTGTTAAGTTTTTTACGGAGTGATCACATGTCAGGCCATGATATCGTCCAAAAAATGACATGTGGTAAAAAAAACTTGACGGATTATCTAATTCGGTATCAAAGTGACATGGATTGAATATTTTATGGACCAAATTAATAAAATTAATACAATGATAACTAAATTGACAAAAAAAATACATATTTTAGAGATTAAAAGTGTTTTTAACCCAAAATTTAATTATATAACTAAATTAGATATTATCTCATTTTTATCGTACTTAAATTATTTGTATTGTGGATGAAGAGAAAAATATATATATATTAATTTTTTGGCAGCAAAAATAATATTATATAAATGAAGTTGTCGATGTGTATTAATATTTGGGTTTTTGAAAAAAAATATATATTTTTTAAAAACCCTGTTAAGAATAATATGACCATCTAAAAGCTTTATAAATACTAGATATTGCACACGTGCATTACACGTGAATTATTTTTATAATAGTTTTGATTTTATATTTATCATATCGGTAAATAGGTTAATTTATTTAGAACTGGAATATTATCAAAAATTGCCTTAAAATGTGATTTTTGTAATTTATGAGTCCTATTTTATAGTTTAATTATAAATATGGTAAAATACGTTGGTCACATACCCACACATACTTACCATAACAATCTCCTATTTCAAAGTTTAAAAATAATTAATAATCAAACCAATTTGGTCAAGTAGACAATTCTTCCCAAATATAAGACTTAGTTTTTTATGTCGTTATTTTTTAGGATTCTATTATGTCCTCTTTTGAATTTTTCTTTAACTCTCTGTAAATATTTTGTTCTTTAATATAAATGCATTGTGCTAAACTTATAATATTGATTTATCAATGCATACTCCTATTAGACGAATATACAATTTTATTTATCAACAATATTTTTAATGCGAAGTTATCATTTGACACATTGGTATATATGTTGCACGTGGACAAGTTAAATCTATAGCAATGACATTATTTCTTATAAGTATGTTGAAATAATTAAATATATATAACTACGAATCAAAATATATGTCATTTGATACTTGTTGTTTGGATATATTATATGTTGCTATGTGTTCCAACCACAATAATGTTTTAAGAAGTTACACTGCATGCTAAATTGATTATTTCAAAATTGATTGATCACCCCATGAATACTAGAAAGGCTGATTGATCGAGATTATATGTTTTTGTGTGCTAAATCTACTATACTTACTAAGAGTCCATAATCATTGGTTGCATGAATCACGATAATACAAACTTTGCGAGAGAAAAATTTGATAAAATCGCCACAAAATATATTGTATTTTTATAATAGAACACAAGATAGTCAAGTAAATCATCATAACACAAACCAATAGATAGAAGACGTACATGTTTCAACTACAAAAATTTGTTTCTTTTGCAACATTTATCTTGACGGATTAGAATTTTAAAAAAATCCTCAAGACTAACTTATCTCTAATTAAAGAAATTTAATTCTAAATTCATTGTTAGATTTATCTAAATATATAAGATATTAGTACATGATGGAAAGTTCAAAAGTCAAATTTTTAAATGGCTTGATTTCGTATAAATTTCAAAAATTGTTGTTATAATTTGATATTTACTCTTAAGACTTGTTTACACTATTTTTAGAATCTACAAGGTTTACAACTTAAATAAGTTACAATACATACTAGACTAATGAAAAAAAATTAGTTTTATATTATGAATCTATATAAAAAAAAAAGAGAGAAATCAATTAGAGTAATATTTAGATTAAGGATAATATTGATTTTATATTGTTGTTAAATCACATTTACGAAAATTATAATATAGACTTTAATAAATTGTACTAGGATAAAATTAGAAAATAAATTTTTATTTTTAAGTAGTGACTTTGATGAATTATATTTTAGCAATCATTAAATTTACAGGGTTCTTCAAGGGTATCAAATTTTTATGATTTAAGTCATAAGTGTTCATATATTTATTTAAGGAAAAAATAGAAATTTAAAAGTTTTAAATGAAATTATTAATGTAAGGTATAATTGTTCTTATAATTTTGTTTAAGGGTAAAAAAGAAATTCAAAAAATTTTCATCAAGTACTTTTATTAGTGATATAGATATAGATATAAATTNAAAAATAAAAATTCAAAAGTTTTAAATGAAATTATTAATGTAAGGTATAATTGTTCTTATAATTTTGTTTAAGGGTAAAAAAGAAATTCAAAAAATTTTCATCAAGTACTTTTATTAGTGATATAGATATAGATATAAATTGAGATTTACATCATATGTTAGATGCTAGTTTGTTATTTAAGTATAGAGTGATATAATGATAATCTACATATTTAAATATATAACATTTTAGCTTTTATAGTTTTTTATGAGAGTAAAATAATGAATCAAAATTTTTTCGTGTAAGATATTTTTATTAATAGTATAGATATACATTTACATTTATGATTTTATTGAGAATTGGGCCTTGCCCCAATAGTAAAACGTGGACTACAACGTGGGGAAATGAGCCGGGNCTACATATTTAAATATATAACATTTTAGCTTTTATAGTTTTTTATGAGAGTAAAATAATGAATCAAAAATTTTTCGTGTAAGATATTTTTATTAATAGTATAGATATACATTTACATTTATGATTTTATTGGCAATTGGGCCTTGCCCCAATAGTAAAACGTGGACTACAACGTGGGGAAATGAGCCGGGAGTAGTAGATGGGCCAAACTTAGGATCCAGCCCGTACAACAGCTAAGCTACGCTCTATATTTGATCAAAAAAAAAAAAAAAAGCTACGCTCTATAAAAACCTCATGAACGAGGGCTTTAGGGTCTCTGCAACAACAGATAAACAGTTTAGAAGCCTACCGGAGGTTTTCGCCGTCGTTTTCAGCTCTCGCAACCATGATAATTACAGAGAAGAACCGCCGAGAGATCTCCAAGTACCTTTTCCAAGAAGGAGTTTGCTTTGCGAAAAAGGACTACAACTTGGCGAAACACCCTGAAATCGATGTCCCGAACTTACAGGTGATAAAGCTGATGCAGAGCTTCAAATCCAAAGAATACGTTCGCGAGACCTTCGCTTGGATGCACTACTATTGGTATTTAACCAATGACGGCATTGAGTTCCTCAGAACTTACCTCAATTTGCCTTCCGAAATTGTCCCTGCCACTTTGAAGAAATCCCCCCGGCCACTCGGTCGCCCCATGGGTGGCCCACCTGGTGATCGCCCCCGGTAATTTGAAATACACCCTCATTTCCACGTGTATTCATATTTGTATGTTAATAATTGGTGATTTGTTATTTTTGGGTTCTTTTGTTGAGTTGGGTTTATTTGATTCATTGATGTGTATGTTAATTTTGGCGATTTGTTATTTTTTGATTCTTTTGTTGGGGTGGGTTTGTTTGATTGATTGTAATTTCAATTGGGTTTTGTTGAAAATTGTGTATAGTGGACCGCCGCGGTTTGAAGGAGATAGGCCGAGGTTTGGTGATCGGGATGGATACCGTGGAGGTCCCCGAGGAGGGCCGCCGGGTGAGTTTGGTGACAAGGGTGGAGCTCCTGCTGACTACCAGCCTGCATTTAGGGTAAATTCATTACTTATTTTTTTCGGAATTGCGTTTTCTTAGGATTGATTCCTGTACTTCTCTTGGTGGGATGCTGTATTTGAGCATCTCTTATTTGTCTCAAGGTTTTATAGTGTCAGCAACCATGTACCTTGAGATTTTTTATTTTATTTTTTTTACATTCAAGCAGTAGGTATTGAACCCTGGTAACTGACTTTCCCACCCCTGGTTCTCATATTCCTCAAGAACTAAAAGTCCAGTTTAGAATGAATTAATAGAACTTGAAAAACACAAGAATTTCGACTCAAAATTTTAAAAGTAAGCATGTTATTGGAATAGTTGTTGCATCAAGTGAGATTTTGTGTCTCGAGGCAGTATTGTTCATAAGAACTAAAATTTTGGGTGGGGAACATGCAAATCTGAGGCGTTATGCAAATTCCGAACACTGATCCCTCCTAGCTCCTTTAATGAAAACTAAACTGAGTGTCATTTTCATCACTGTGCAAATATGAGACATGATATTGATCCCTAATAGCTACTATCTCAGAAATTTAACTTGAAGAAGGATTGATAGTTAATGTTTTCTCACCTTTCTCCTTTTTTTGCAGCCTCAAGCTAACCCAAATGCAATGATTTATCCTTTTATGCAATGACATTCATGCACTCTCCTTTAATATTGTAGTTATTATAAATTTGCATGCATGTTTGGCTGGCCATTATTCTACCTTATACATACTCTTTTCTTCTAGAAATTTTTACCTTACCCTGCTAGACATCCAAATGTCGCACTGTTACTGAAAGAATCTCCACAAGCACATTATACGTTGAAACTTTTTTTGGCTTCCTTAAACTCTTGTCCTTTTCTTCATGTTACTTGTTTGGTTTGGCTTTTGATGCTTAATAGCGGATGTATTTGAGGAAATAATTACTTCTGTCAATTTTTAGACTGGTTTTTGCTTAGGGAATAATTGCATGATGTGCATAACATCTGTGGTGCGAGCACATATTATGCTTCCATGTTTATAAGCACCTTATGACATGCAACAAGATGGTGTAAATTGGGTTTGACTGAGAGATTTAGATAGTATGGCAAGGCATGAGGTTCTATGGATATATATCCTTTGTACACACATTGTTGGTGGAATAAAAAACTTGTCTAATATGTTATCGTAAGGTGATTGCCATGAGCTTGTGTTTTATGATACAAACATTTTCTCTTGTTCCTTTGCTCACATATGTTTAATTGCTCTGCATTCAGCAGGGTTCTGGTGGAAGAGGTGGCTTTGGTCGTGGAGCCGGTGGCTATGGTGCAGGGACAACTAGCTCGGATATGCCCTGAGTGCTGTTTCCTAGCATCTCAAAGTTTTGAATTGGTGGATAGGGGTACGAGACTTGAGCAGGATAATTATGTTTTATTGCGTTTGTGGATCAGTTATCTGATAGCTATATGATACAAGAGTGTGTCGAGGAGACTGCTTTAATATTTTTATTTTCTATGTTATTAGTGTATCAGGAAAAACCAAAACTGTTTATCGAGCATATCCTAATGTCTGTTGCCTTGAAAACACTCAAGGAAAGAATGATTTATATTATCATGCTGTCAAGTGGTGAAGCTGATGTGTTTATGACAATTCCTTTGCCACTTATTATCTGATATGAACTCAAATACTAATCTAGCCCCTTAAAAGGGTAAGATTTAAAGTACAACTAAAATTCTACTGGGTAAGTTTGCAATGTTTAATGTCTGGATGAGTTTTACTTTCAAGCTTGTCTGTAATAACTGTTGTGGCAACATCTCTAATGTGTTCATGTACCTCATTCATTAGAAACCTTTTTGCTCAGTTTGCTCTTTGGATGACATGAGAGAGCATTTATGACGAAAACAAACTTAAATCCAATCCGTTACTGCCTCCATCCTCCATGAGGTCTTCTGATCTTCTAATTTCTGCTTTAAACTCTCCTGCATCTCTCCGTCTCCCAGCACTCAAATTATTTGATAACACAACCCTCCACACATTACTGTCTGGCACCAAAATAGAAAGCAGCTTTGCGGCCCTTCGGCCTACCTCCACATTACCAAAGAAGGTGCAAGCACCCAAGTCCCCCTAACCCCACCCAACCACACAACATCTGGTGTCGATGACTCTTTATGGAAGGTAGTCCTTCGACTCTCCCCATCCACTGTAAGCGATACCACCAGTCCTTTCCAATGATCACCAGAAATCATAGATGTACGAGATATAGTGTTTCTGGTAGGCATATGCTCTAACAGTTCTGCAGCATCTTCAATCTGCCTACATTTTTTGCATAGAAGTCCAGAAGAGAATTGCTAACGAAGGCCTTACTGTTATGCTCAAACTTTTCGCATTTTGNAACAGTTCTGCAGCATCTTCAATCTGCCTACATTTTTTGCATAGAAGTCCAGAAGAGAATTGCTAACGAAGGCCTTACTGTTATGCTCAAACTTTTCGCATTTTGGAATGAATGGAACAGCTTAGTTTTTGGGTTCCATATGTTGATGCATATCCAAGTTNACGAAGGCCTTACTGTTATGCTCAAACTTTTCGCATTTTGGAATGAATGGAACAGCATAGTTTTTGGGTTCCATTTGTTGATGCATATCCAAGATNGTCCAGAAGAGAATTGCTAACGAAGGCCTTACTGTTATGCTCAAACTTTTCGCATTTTGGAATGAATGGAACAGCATAGTTTTTGGGTTCCATATGTTGATGCATATCCAAGATATCAAAGGAGACAGCCTTCAGATGGCAGAAGAATCTGTGGTGGGGTGTGGTGTTTGCACAGCATCCTCTGTTAAAGAGGGAGACCACAGGGGCCTGGCGCATAAACTCATGTGCAAGCATAAACGTTCAGATTGGNTTTGGGTTCCATATGTTGATGCATATCCAAGATATCAAAGGAGACAGCCTTCAGATGGCAGAAGAATCTGTGGTGGGGTGTGGTGTTTGCACAGCATCCTCTGTTAAAGAGGGAGACCACAGGGGCCTGGCGCATAAATTCACGTGCAAGCATAAACGTTCAGATTTGNTTGGGTTCCATATGTTGATGCATATCCAAGATATCAAAGGAGACAGCCTTCAGATGGCAGAAGAATCTGTGGTGGGGTGTGGTGTTTGCACAGCATCCTCTGTTAAAGAGGGAGACCACAGGGGCCTGGCGCATAAACTCATGTGCAAGCATAAACGTTCAGATTGGGAAGTTGGATAGTTGAGGAATGACTCTTGTTAAGATCTATCACTAATATAGAGAACTTACCTTCCTAAGGCTACAAACCATGTACAGGGAGAGAGGTTTTTGAGATATGAAATCACATTCAGGTCGTATATTACAACCTAAGTCCCTTCCGGAGGGTAACTATTCATCTGACTCATATCACAGCCACGATCAAAGCCAGACACTGTACAGATCGAAATANTATAGAGAACTTACCTTCCTAAGGCTACAAACCATGTACAGGGAGAGAGGTTTTTGAGATATGAAATCACATTCAGGTTGTATATTACAACCTAAGTCCCTTCCGGAGGGTAACATTTCATCTGACTCATATCACAGCCACGATCAAAGCCAGACACTGTACAGATCGAAAAAAAAAAAAGAAAAGAAAGAGAACAAAGGAAAAATGAAACATGGCAGAAACCTCCTATCGACATAGTAACCCTTGACCCTGTACATGGAAGTTACTCTCTCCAACTGATGACAATCTTCTCAGTCAACTTCCTCCATCTTGCTCTCTTCATTCACTTCCTCCTCCAGTGGTGGCATCTCAGTGTCATCACCACCACTCTCGTCTTCCTCAATGCCTAGACCCAGCTTCAGCATCCTATGTATTCTAGCAGCAAATGTGTTTGGGTCATCGAGACTGAATCCAGATGTCAGAAGGGCAGTCTCGTATAGCAGCAACACCAAATCTCTCACAGACTTATCATTCTTATCAGCCTCAGCCCTCTTTCTCAGCTCCCCCATTATGGGATCGTCCGGGTTGATCTCCATAGTCTTCTTGCTCGACATGTAAGAGGCCATGGTGTTGTCCCTCAAAGTCTGAGCCTTCATTATCCTCTCCATGTTAGCTGTCCAACCATACTCTCCAGTGACCAAACAGCATGGTGAATCTGCAAGCCTATCCGAGACAACTACTTTCTCCACCCTGTCTCCAAGGATATCTTTTATTACTTTGCACAGATTTTCAAAGGATTTCTTCTTTTCCTCCTTTTTTTGCTTCTCTTCCTCTGACTCATCTTCAATCGTCAGTCCTTCCTTGGTAGCAGAAACGAGTTTCTTCCCATCGTATTCCTTCAACTGCGTCACAACATACTCATCAATGGCATCAATCATGAACAGAACTTCATATCCCTTCTTCTTGAGCTTCTCCAAGAATAGTGAGTTCTCTACAGCTTTCTTGCTCTCACCAGTGATATAGTAAATGTATTTCTGGCCCTCCTTCATCCTTGTAACATAGGCCTTCAAGCTGGTCATCTCATCACCACTTTTTGTGGAGTAGTACCTGAGAAGATCAGCCAGCTTAGCCCTGTTCTGACTATCTTCATGAATACCCAGCTTAATGTTCTTAGAGAAAGTTTCATAGAACTTCTTGTAATCATCTTTATTCTCAGCAATTTCATAGAACATCTCAATGCACTTCTTCACAAGATTCTTCCTAATCACCTTCAAGATCTTGTTCTGTTGGAGCATCTCCCGAGAGATGTTGAGTGGAAGATCGTCAGAGTCCACCACACCCTTCACGAAACCAAGATACTCGGGGATGAGCTCTTCACAATTGTCCATGATGAAGACCCTCCTGACATAGAGCTTAATGTTGTTCGTCTTCTTCCTAGTGTCGAAGAGATCAGATGGAGCTCTCCTTGGGACAAAGAGGATGGATTTGAACTCAAGCTGCCCTTCAACGGAGAAGTGTTTCCAAGCAAGGGGGTCCTCCCAATCATTGGTCAAGCTCTTGTAGAATGAAGCATACTCCTCCTTGGTGATCTCCTCTGGTTTTCGGAGCCAAATGGGCTTCTGCTTGTTAATGAGTTCCCATTCATGGGTCACTTCCTTGATCTTCTTCTTCTTCTTTTTGTCTGTCTTTTCCTCCTCATCAACTTCCTCGACATCANTTCTGCTTGTTAATGAGTTCCCATTCATGGGTCACTTCCTTGATCTTCTTCTTCTTTTTGTCTGTCTTTTCCTCCTCATCAACTTCCTCGACATCACCCTCCTTTTCCTCGTTGGTTTCCTCATCTTCATCCTCACTAATCTCTTTCTCAATAGTCTTCTCAGTCCAGAGGTATATTGGGTAGCTGATGAACTCAGAGTGCTTTCTCACAAGGTCCTTCAATCTCCTCTCTTCCAAGTACTCCAACTGCACAAGAATAAATCACATAATATTAAACCAAATGCACAATTACAATACTTGAAACCTTTTTTTTTGTTGATAAAAATGGAAAGTGTGTGTACATATATACTGAANTCACATAATATTAAACCAAATGCACAATTACAATACTTGAAACCTTTTTTTTTGTTTTTTTTGTTGATAAAAATGGAAAGTGTGTGTACATATATACTGTAACACACATACAATCCAAACATGCATACACATCAACATATCAACAGAAGGAAGGAACTAATCCATACTTGATCTTCCTTGAGAAAGAGGGTGACTTTGGTGCCCCTACCCAGACGCTCCCCAGTAACGTCCCTAGTAACAATGAAAGATCCACCAGCCTGAGACTCCCATATGTACTGGTCATCATCAGTATGCTTCGTCGTTACAATAACCCTCTCAGCCACCAAAAAAGATGAATAGAAACCAACACCGAACTGACCAATCATACTCAGGTCAGACCCCGCCTGCAAAGCCTCCATGAACTCCTTGGTCCCCGACCTCGCAATAGTCCCCAAATTATTCACCAAATCTAATCCACAAGGCAATGACCAATTCCATCAATATCTAGGTCCAAATATCATGTCACATTAACAAGCACACACATGTATAATATACCAATCAAACCATAGGTATTTCATTGGTTCATAAGTGTAAACGCCAAACTAATCAAAGATATTGAGAACAAGGATATGCTGATAAGAAGAATTTTNGTGGCTTTGGTCGTGGAGCCGGTGGCTATGGTGCAGGGACAACTAGCTCGGATATGTCCTGAGTGCTGTTTCCTAGCATCTCAAAGTTTTGAATTGGTGGCTAGGGGTACGAGACTTGAGCAGGATAATTATGTTTTATTTCGTTTGTGGATCAGTTATCTGATAGCTTTATGATACAAGGGTGTGTCGAGGAGACTGCTTTAATATTTTATTTTCTATGTTATTAGTGTATCAGGAAAAACCAAAACTGTTTATTGAGCATACCCTAATGTCTGTTGCCTTGAAAACACTCAAGGAAAGAATGATTTATATTATCATGCTGTCAAGTGGTGAAGCTGATGTGTTTATGACAATTCCTTTGCCACTTATTATCTGATATGAACTCAAATACTAATCTAGCCCCTTAAAAGGGTAAGATTTAAAGTACAACTAAAATTCTACTGGGTAAGTTTGCAATGTTTAATGTCTGGATGAGTTTTACTTTCAAGCTTGTCTGTAATAACTGTTGTGGCAACATCTCTAATGTGTTCATGTACCTCATTCATTAGAAACCTTTTTGCTCAGTTTGCTCTTTGGATGACATGAGAGAGCATTTATGACGAAAACAAACTTAAATCCAATCCGTTACTGCCTCCATCCTCCATGAGGTCTTCTGATCGTCTAACTTCTGCTTTAAACTCTCCTGCATCTTTCCGTCTCCCAGCACTCAAATTATTTGATAACACAACCCTCCACACATTACTGTCTGGCACCAAAATAGAAAGCAGCTTTGCGGCCCTTCGGCCTACCTCCACATTACCAAAGAAGATGCAAGCACCCAAGTCCCCCTAACCCCACCCAACCACACAACATCTGGTGTCGATGACTCTTTATGGAAGGTAGTCCTTCGACTCTCCCCATCCACTGTAAGCGNTTTTTCTTTTTTTAAATCAGACACTATACAAAAATGGGGACGACGAGGTTACACTCCTACTTTCTAGTGTGTATATATAAATATGGTTTATATATAAACATATAAATACCTGCTTTAGTCATTCCGGTACCGCTATCGATGATAGAGAGGGTCTTGTTGATTTTGTCAGGAACGATTCTAATGAAGAGCTCAGGCAGAGGATCGAGCTTGCTCTTGTCCGTCAAGCTCTCGTATCGGATTTTGTCCAACGCCTGAAAAAAACCCGACAAAGATTCAACCATTTGGAGCCTTAAATTCCCACAATTCAATTCTAAATCCATAATATACGCATAAAAACATCTATCTGTTCATGCATACTTACGTCAGATGCATTGCTGATGAGTTCGCGAATGAAAATCTCTTTGTTGCTGTAAAAAGTGTTGATTATGAGGCTGAGAAGTTGGTTGATCTCAGCCTGGAAAGCGAAGGTCTCACTTTCTTGCCTCCGAACGTCCGCCATTACTTCTTATCACCACCTTGTAGAATCCAAATTCGAAGCAACAGAAAGAGTAACAGAGAGATAGAGAGATCAGTATGAGCTAGGGTTTACAAGTTGGTCGTTGAATGTGAGATTGGTAATGAAGCATTTGCTTGAAAGCAGAAAGGACAATGAGGGAATACTTATCTACAAAGGAGAGAGACAGAGAGGGGGAAGAGTACTGAGTCATCGAGTCTGGAAGGTATTGGAATTCGATTTCCCGCTTGTGGACTCTTCCACCGTTTTCTTAATTTCGTTATTCCAATTCCGCCCTTCATTTTAATTATTAATTACGTAGTTGTCGTTGTTCAATCGAGAAGTTACATCTGGTTGGGCTAGGCCTGTGTCGGCATATGGGCCTTTTAATCCACATGCCTATGAGAAGGCAACGTGGTTGGTTTGATTCATGAGAGTCCAATACTAGCCCGTTAGGTTGTCCCATTTGAGTATTTTTGTTACAAANGGAAGTTACATCTGGTTGGGCTAGGCCTGTGTCGGCATATGGGCCTTTAATCCACAGGCCTATGAGAAGGCAACGTGGTTGGTTTGATTCATGAGAGTCCAATACTAGCCCGTTAGGTTGTCCCATTTGAGTATTTTTGTTACAAAGAAAAATTGGAAGATTGTGAAAGACATAGAAAAGGAAATACGAGAAAAAATATGTATATTTTTGTGATTTAGCGA